CATTTGTCTGGAACGGTATAGGGTTTCCTGCCTAGGCAGGGGTTTGGACTAGAAGACCTCCAAGGTCCCTTCCAACTCTGCTATTGTATTTGTATTCATTATTAATGATCGCCAGGGAAAAATGTCTTAATACGGCTATAATCAATGTCTTTATTATTCCTTCCATAGTTGAAGGTAAAGAGTAATTAAAAATAATTTGTAATAAGTTCTTCAGACTATGTTAGATAATGAGAAATCTTACTTACATGTTTAACTGTTTTGCTTTCTTCTTATATATTACTGATTCTTTATCTTACACACTCCCTCATTCACATTCAACAGAGATGTGGGTAAAACCATCAAAATAGAAGATAAGGAATTGTGTTCTTTTTTCTGTGAACACTATTACTTTACCTACTTGGCATGAGAACCATAGTAGGGGATATGATGTCACAATGGAAGGTCTTATGTCATAATGGTCTTCCCAGTCCATCAGCCACGAGAACAGTAATTTTGAATTCAAGTTTTAAATTTTTTAATTATTTTTAACACAGCTTCCAATCCAAGTAAAATGTTGATGAATTATAAATGGTTGCATTTGATGAAGATAAAAGTGCATATAATACTTTTAATTATTATGAATATCATTTTAATTTCTTTTAATATCATTTGATACTGCCTCCTAAACTTAAAAAAAATCTAATCACTTTTGACAGCATGTCACAAAGCACACACACAAAATCCTAATGCACTATTCCTGTTTTTTCTTTATAGATGTCAATGGATAACAGTTTCATATTTATCACTCATTATCAAATCTTCGCATTGTATTATTCTGTTATCTTTAATCAAACATTACTCAGACTGATCGTAAGAAACTATCTCTATCCCAACTAATAATCAACTTCAGAATTATCAGATAACTGAAAATTAAAACAGGTAATATACAATTGTTTTCATTCGTCTCCTCTGGTTATTAAAATTGTATTATCCTTATTTTTACATTAAGTACATTAAGCACTGCACATCAAGACAACTAGACACAAGAACAGTTTTTTCCCGAATGCCAGCACTGTGCTGAACAAATAATTCCCTCACCACTGTCAAACTATTCACAAAGGCTGAGTTACTATTACCATTAGTCTTCTCATTGTTCCTATCACCCATCTCCTCCCACTTATGACTGCAGGACTGTAACTTTGNACCCGCCCGCCCGCCTGCGCTCCTTACCCAGTTTTGATGAGTTCTGCGCTTCCACGCATGCGCAGGACGCATACAGCACCTGCGCGATCCTCCAGGAGCAGCTGGAGCATCGCACAGACGCTAGTACGCATGCGTGTGCCGTGCGCGTGCACGTCGCACGTGTGCACGAGGACGCCGCCAGCCCCGTTCCAACCGAACCGGTTGGAACGGGGCGAGAAACCCACCCCTGGATTGTACATAGTGTTGATAAAAAAAGAGCTGTTGTTACTGTTAGCCTGAATCTGCCTCATCCATTCACTCGATCTAACACAGATGGTATATCTTAGTGAGCACAAACTGGTTACAAGTGAAACATATAGGTGGATAGTGCTTTCATATTGACATTAGCCCTGCTAATGATATGTTGAAAGATACTGTATTTTTCGGAGTATAAGACGTGCTTCCCGCCCCAAAAGAGGGTAAAAATTTGGGTACGTCTTATACACCAAATATAGTCCCGCCCACCTACCAGCTCCCACCCTTTGTCCTCTGCCCAGAGGTGGGTTGCTCCCAGTTCGGCTGGGTTGGGCTAAACAGATAGTGGCGGCAGTGAGAGGTCCACTCACTCTCCCGGATACTTCTGCGCATGTGCAGAAGTGTTGTACATGCACGCGAGCACAAATGAAGTGGTAGTAAATTGGTTAGCAACCCACCACTGCCTGTGCCTCCAAGAAATTTGCCTCCTTGCAGCAAAAAGCAAACAGCCTGTTTCAGTTTCAGCTTCAGCATAGCTTGATTAGCACAAGCAGCTGATTGTCGGTTGGATCAGCCTCCCAAGGATCAGATATTTCAGGCTACAGGGATTGCTATTGCCTATTGCTGCCTCCACACGCCCCATTTCAACCACAGTCCTCCATTTTCTGCCCATTCCGATCCCCGCTGCCCGGAATGGGCACAAAATGAGGCATGCAAAAGCCAAAAACAGAGCATGCGGAAGCTAAAAACGTGGCGTGCAGAGGCAGCAATAGGCTATGGCAAACCCTGTACCCTGAAACAACTGATTGTTGTGAGGCTGATCCAACCAACAATCAGCTGCTTATGCTAATTAGCCTGTGCGGAAATTGAAATTGAAACATGCTGTTTGCTGCAAGGAGGCAAATTGCTGGGAGGCAGAGGCAAAGATTTTTCCCCTTGTACTAATCAGCTAAACTGAAAGTGAAACAGGCTGTTTGTTGTTTGCTGCAAGGAGGCAAATTGCTGGGAGGCAGAGGCAGACGCAGATTTTTTTTTCTTGTTTTTCTCCCCAAAAGGTAGGTGCTTATATTTCAGAGTGTCTTATACTCTGAAAAATATGATAGGTTCTGATTTTACAAGACAAGTTATAGGTAGAAATTGACCAGAAGGCCACAGTTCAAGTTGACTCTTGAAGAGAGGAGGATAAATTTATGGGCATATTTCTACATCTTTAAATTGGCATACATTATAGCAGCTGCCATATAAAAAATAGTTGTTTCTGGATTTACAGGTGTAAGGAAAGTAGATACAATAGTGTAGTTATTGGGCAAATAAGAGAAGTTAAAGATGCTTTCAGGACAAGCCTGCAGTTTAGAGCTGCAGTCTCTAGGAGATTCCTTCATCTAAGTCAGGGGTGTCAAACTCAATTTCATTGAGGGCCACATCAGGGTAGTGTTTGGCCCCAGGGCAGGAGTGGGTGTAGCCAGGGTGGGTGTGGCCAGCTCAACATCACTCATGTCAGGGGTGCCTGTGGTGGCCTGAGCATTCTGCCAGCGAAAATGGGCTGGTAAGCTCCATTTTCAGCTGCAATGGCCTCCTGCAACCCTCTGCCAGTGAAAACGGAGCTTAGGATGCCCCTCTTGAGCTCCGTTTTCGCTGGCAGAGGTATCACAGACCAGTCCATTGTTGTTTCCATGGCAGCCCCCCCCCCGACCAGATCTAAGCACCCTGTGGGCCAGTCTGGCCCCTGGGCCTTGATTTGACACCCTGATCTAAGTAATAATGGTGGTGGGGCAGCCCTTCATAACTTTAGAAATCAGCCAAACCTCAGCTACAGGTTATTTATCTTCCATTGCCAAATTCAGTTTCATGAAATACATAAATAAAAGTAGAAAGCACTAAAGTCTAGCATTGCACAAAGTTCACAGATCCTAATTCATGGGGGGGGGGGGAGAGAGTCTAATTTGCAAATATTGAATCTCGTATGAGAAACCTGTTACTAATATTTGTATCTGTCTTGTCTGATTTGG